AATAGTCCAGGGTCTGTGTGTGTACATGGTGGGGTAGGGCCCTCTAGTGAAGGGGTACTTCCCGGGTATCTCAGACTCAAGACGGGAGGTATCATCTTTAGTGTATAGCGGCTTTATGGAAATACCCTATTGAAAAAGATATTTAGACACTCCATTTTTATAATTTTTCCTGATACACACATGTATACATGTTCTTATGCTGTGTAAAAAGTTTGGCCTGATTCCGATCAAGTTTGGATTTTTTTTGCAAATTTTTAAAGTTGCTTAAATATCGGGCCAAAGTCCCTGTACTATAGTACAGGGATTTTGGTCAAATTTCATCAAAAATGAAAAGTAGAGAATTCTCCATTTTTATAACTTTTCCTGATACATATACATGTACTTATGTTGTGTAGCAAGTTTAAACTGATTCCGATCAAGTTTGGATTTTTTACGAATTTTTAAAGTTGCTTAAAAATCGGGCCAAAGTCCCTGTACTATAATACAGGGATTTTAGTTAAATTTTGTCAAAAATGAAAAGTAGAAAATTCTCCATTTTTATAACTTTTTCTGATACATATACATGTACTTATGTTGTGTAGCAAGTTTAAACTGATTCCAATCAAGTTTGGATTTTTTACAAATTTTTTAAGTTGCTCAAAAATCGGGCCAAAGTCCCTGTACTACAGTACAGGGATTTTGATCAAATTTCATCAAAAATGAAAAGTTGAGAATTTCTTCATTTTGCAATTTTTCCTGATACATATACATGTTCTTATGCTGTGTAGAAAGTTTGGAGTGATTCTGATAAAATTTAGATTTTTAAATAAATTCCTAAAGTTGCTCAAAAATGCTTGTCAGCTCACGATGCTTACTCACTTAGCAATGCTTTGTGGGAAACTCTGAGTAGGACATGTTATTGTGTTAAGCTTTTCATTAATTTGTTAAAAAATTATGTTGTTCAGAAAAAATGGTAAAATAACACAGAACTTAGTTGAACAATTGAGCAATATGGTCGGAAAATGTCTGATATCTGACTGTTATTTCAGGCTCTGATAGTTAAATTAAATTAAATTAAAATTATTATGCCAGTAGTAAAATTAGAAATTAACAGGGTTCCGTAATTAACAGTGAACCTCTAAGGTAAAGTTTAAGTAGTCCCCCAGCAGCCCCTTACTTCAGGAGTGTTCCATGTTAGTGTCTGGCTAGGATCCTTCCCTTTCAACTGCTTCTTTGCTAATTCAAACCACTCAGCGTCTAAAAATCCAGCACCACTTGCCTCAGAACAAAAATACCTTTTATTTTTCAGCCATTCCAAATAGCCCTTCACATTTCTGACTGATCTTTTGAGAAAAGACAGAGAGAAAGACACTTGAGCACACATTGTTATTTCCAGATAGCCACACCCACAGATAGGAGGGGGTACCGGGGTAGGTGTAAACTCGCAGACTTAATATGGCTAGTCTTGGTGTGGAGATATTAAAGCATGAAAGAGATACCCTTCCACTCATAATACAGCCGAGAAATATTGAGAGCAGTAGCGTTGAATACTTAAAGGAATGGATAGCAGAGAATCAAGAGGCCATCAATAAATATTTACTGACTTAT